TGTCCCTCCTACCCCCTGCCCTTTGATCTCTAAACATTTCCTCCCCTCTCCCCCTTAATTAATGCTGATTGGTTGCTTGTGCTTTTGCTAACTCTACCCTCACTTTATATTATTGTATTTGCCTGATGAGGAATGAATGGAAAACTGTCGTTCCCCTAATTTGACTTCCTGAAACATGACTGACTCACAGGATCTACGGCTTCTTATTCAATTTTATAGTAAGGGTTCTCAGTTTCTCAGCTTTACTGCCTTTTTTACGCTCCACATTTCGGTCACTACATACACTGTGCCTTTTAGTCCGCTTTATAAAACTTGGGTCCGTTTTATTCTTATTACAATTTCGCATTATTTGAGCCTTAGCAATTTTCTTTAAACATTTTTACCAGCTGCATATTGCCCGCAGTTCCTTATGGTAACAGTTTCCTAGATGTCTGAGAGGTAATCTATAGATAAACCATGCGCTATTACTCCATAAGTAAATGGAATTTTTGCGAATCTGGCTTTTGCAACCTGGATAAAATGTAAGGTTAATGGAACTTTGAGAACTCTCAGCACGGCAGAATTCTGACAAACACGACGTCCAACCAATTAAAATGCTAGATAGCTGAAAGTGACCTTCAGCCCGCCGCGCCACACCTTATTCTAGGAGCGTCGGATATTGATGTCGTGCCCATTTGTATTTGTTTCTAAACCGTCGAAGGATGCGAATTCTCATTCGCAATTGCAGTCTGACTTAGCAGACTGGTAATATTACTTTGGTTTCCTCAATCCTGCTTTAGTCTTAAGCGTATATCTGACCAGGTGAAAAAAGATGGCGTTTCGGCTCCCGAGGTATTACGACCTCTATTCCAGTCGCATATCGTCGAATCAGTTATAGGACCGTCCCATATTGCCTTCAGATTAGAAGTTAGTTTTTATCCTTATCTTATTTCACTTATAGGATGGTCGGGTTTGTCGTGTCGCCTATTTCCTCCGGTCAGACTCCATGTCCACTCTAGAGGAGAAAAGGTTACTGTTCATTTACGTTTAATAATTGTATGTAGAAAGGCGCGGTCATCTGATATGAGAAATGATTCTCATTACAGCCGGGACGTATCATCTGGGTCAACACGTTCCTCTGGTGCATCGGCTACCCTACGTTCTATGCGCTCGCCATTGGGTGTCTTAGGCCGCCATGCCCGCGGCTTGAGTTTCCTCCGTGAAATGCAACGCCAAGGTATCTATCTTGCCCGCCCAATTAGTTCGCAAATACCAGCTGCGGAAGTTCCCGAGAGTTTGATTGAACAGTGTCAAACTGTTTTACAGGTGAGTTTGTTGACAACAGTTATTTTTCAACCCTTCTTATCGAGGCTTCTCGTATCAAAAAGAAAGTGAAAGCCTGTGGAATAGCCTGACTCTTTATCTGACATTTATCGTGTCTTTTTACAAGAGCATAGAAAATTGGACACCATTCTCCCGTAAAGGCACTCTGTTGCTTCCTGGTTTGCGGTCCCTGTAACTGTCATAATCGAATACTACGGTGTTAAAACGGACACACCTTAGCCTAACGTTGCTTAGCCTGTAACTGTACAATAAGTTACGCTTCTTCTTAATTACAGGGAAAATCACGGCAACTTATCGTCCGAGAGCTACAACGCACTAATTTGGATGTCAATATGGCCGTTAACAACCTTCTGTCACGTGATGACGAAACTGATATAGGCAGTTCCTCTGGAACAGTTGGCGCCCCATCAGCTGCCGAGGACTGGGAAGATGAAGCAGAGGATCTGTTTTCGATCTTTGAACATCCAGAGGGCCACCTCTTGTTTGAACCGGAAACAGGCGTCACCGATGAGTTACTAGACAGGGCCTTCTCTCCACGATTGCGTGGCGAACTCGGTTCCGATTACGGTATTACTTATTGATTTTTAGAATTTTGCCTTTTCGCGACATACCAATAGAAGTGGCCTAGCCGAGTGTGGTTTAATTAACAAACCTTCCGATCCTTTCAGACTACACATCCTACAGTGATCGTCGGAAGCGTCGTCGTTTGGATGCGCATTCGTATGTACGCAATGCAGACACCTATGGAGGGCGTTCTACATCTTCCTACATTGAATCGCGAAGGTTCTGGCGCAGTATCCCCGGCTCTTCTGACGATCAGGTAGAATCTAGTTTTTTTTCCATTTCTATCTACAGCCCTAATTTATCAATAAGAGTTAATATTTTTTTAAATACATATTCTTTGCCCGAATAGCCCCAGCGTGCTGACGAAGACATCTACGAATCTGCCAATCCTCAATCACCATCCCAAAATCGGTACTATGTGTACCTTGGGGACAAACTAGAGTTTTGGCCACTGTCAACTTCCGATGCACCAGGCTTCGTTTTTACAGCAATCGCTGCGCTCTACTCTGAGTTACTCGCCGTAACAAGCTCGGGTGAATTGCATCAATGGAAATGGAAGAGCACTGAGCCATATGGGTTTCAGACAT